GTTTCATTCGCAACACTATCTGCAATATTTGCTGTTGTTTCTTTTTTTGTGATAATAAAATTGAATGAAATTAAAACACTTGGTTTTTTTAAAATCGATCAGCATGTAGAAAAAACAACAAGTTCTTGTAGATTGTCGGCAACGGATGCTATTTTGTTTTTTTTTTTCATTACAAGAATTTTCGATAAAAAAATCATACATACATATATGTGTAGATACGAATTTGGTGACTACAATGGCCCTCTAAATAAAGAAATCTCAATACATGAATGAAAACAAATGCAAATGACAGTGGGGGGAAAGTCGATCATTAAATGCCCTATCTAAAAATTCAAGCCGCCCGCATGTGACAGCTAACCGAAAATATTCTTAAAAAAAAATAGTTTAGATTTTTTTATCCACGCCTGGATAATATTTAGAAAAAATCTAAGCCTAAACATAATTATACCCTTCCCCACACTTTGGTACAGTGTATTATGTCTTTGTGCATATGTTTGTAACAGGAAAAAGGAATCGAGATAGACCCATGGTTCCTTTTGAGAATATGCATAGAATCAATTTGCGAGTCGATTATGATCCGATTTTGATGAAATTTGGCATAGTTCACTTATTTGGCCCAAGGACGAACTCTATTGAAATTGGAGAAAATCGGTTCAGATTTAGATATAGCTCCCATATATATTTTCGTCCGATTTTATGTAAAAGATTCACCAAACTCCCAATATTTGCCCGATTGGGACAAACATTTGAACAGCGCACTGAATCAGGTCCATGCTTATGTGTGCGATGTTTTCTTGGAATCGGTTCAGATTTACATATATAGCTCCCATATATAGTTTCATCCGATTTTTTGTGAATGATGCACCAAACTCCCAATATTTGTCCAATTGAGACAACATTTTGCCCAGAGTTCGGAATTAAGTCCAGACTGATGTCTGCGAAGTTTTGTTAAAATCGGTTCAGATTTAGATATAGCTCCCATATATACTTTCGTCCGATTTAATGTGAATGATGCACCAAAGTCCCTATATATCTTTCGATTTGCACGAAATTTGGCATAGCGTAATGAATTAGGCCTAGAATGATGTGTGTTAAGTTTCGTGAAAATCGGTTCAGATTTAGATATAGCTCCCATATATATTTTCGTCCGATTTAATGTAAATGGTACACCAAAGTCCCTATAAATCTTTCGATTTGCACGAAATTTGGCACAGCGTAATGAATTAGGCCTAGAATGATGTATGTTAAGTTTCCTGAAAATCGGTTCAGATTTAGATATAGCTCCCATATATATTTTCGTCCGATTTAATGTAAATGGTCCAACAAAGTCCCTATATATCTTTCGATTTGCACGAAATTTAGCATATCGTATTCAATGAAGTCTGGAATGATGTGTGCCGAGTTTCATTAAAATCGGTTCAGATTTTGATATAGCTCCCATATATATTTTCGTTCGATTTAATGTAAATGGTACACCAAAGACCCTTTATATCTTTCGATTTGCACGAAATTTGGCACAGCGTAATGAATTAGGCCTAGAATGATGTGTGCTGAGTTTGATTAAAATCGGTTCAGATTTAGATATAGCTCCCATATATATTTTCGTCCGATTTAATGTAAATGGTCCATAAAAGTCCCTATATATATCTCTCGATTTGCACGAAATTTGGCACAGCGTAATGAATTAGGTCTAGAATCAGAAAGTTCCTGAAAATCGGTTCAGATTTAGATATAGCTTCTATATCTCACCAAATGAAAAAATTAGTATCTGTTGAATTTAGTATCGGTTGACATGTTTATGGATCCAATTTCATTTTACTGGTCCTTTAAAAATGCGACGTCTATGAGGATTCATCTGTTGAATATACCCAAAGTGGTAAAGGGTATCATATAGTCGGCCCCGTCCGACTTTACTGGTTTTAAATATTATATTTTTCAAAAAAAAAAAAAAATACTCCACGCCTAAAAAAGTTATTTAAAAAGTCCACACTTCATGTGTAACAAACAATCGGACCAATTGAATACGCCCCCAGATGTCAAGGTACCGCAGAAACTATAATGAAATTTAAATCTGAAATATAACAACAATAACATAAACAACAACAACAACAGAAAACGGATAAACAAAACTCAAGAGCCAGCTACGATTATCTCAGAGTAACGGTTTTATTGCATAAACCATGGCGGGTTTATCCGCCCCTCCAAACCGACGCAAGTCGGAGAGTGGGCCACAAAGACCACTTCTATCACTTATATGTTGTGAGATAATTAATTATAGTTTGCTCTCTCAATCTCTCTTTCGCTGCTTATGGTCCAACGTGGATCCAACGAAACGTTAGTCTTAACTGCAACGCTCGTAGAAAACCAACGGTAAAACGGACAATCAAAAATAATTCAATTTTATTTTTGAATTGCAAAAAATTTCCGCATTTTAAAGTTTTCAAAACAAAAAATTATTTTGAAAGGCAAATTTTGTTTACAAACAAAATTATTTTAATTTGTGTGTGTGTCTTCTGTGAACCCGCCGAAATGAAAATGAAAACAAGTTTGGCGAGGGTGGTGGATGCTAGATGAATGAACTGGGTCCGGGTCCGTCCGTTGCAAAGAAAATAAATATATTTTTCGATAAAGGTCTTTGAGACTGTGTGTCGGTCGGTCGGTTTGTTTGTTTCCAAAACTCTACAAAATAACGAACAAAGCAGAAAATCATTGAAAACTGATCTGATGTAAATGTTGTAAAGGTTGACAACTATTGCTTTATGTTTGTTTTTTCTTCTTTATCTTCATGTTGCTGTTGTTCGCCAAAAAGACACAAAAAAAAAGATTGGACAATTAGTCGACAACAACAATAACAATTAGATGACACAATTGTGCAATTATTAATAAAAATTAAATTTGAAGGTTATCGTATTTTACAACTGATTCAAGTGAAATTTAAAGAAATAAAAAAAACAACATTAAGAAGTTTTAAAGTGATTGAATACTGGATGGTGGGATTTAAAATCAAAATAAAAATAAAAAAATATTTAAGGGTAAGCTAGAATGGAATTTTTTAAAAACATATTTCAAAGGACCCTAAAAAGATTTTTCCAAGGCGTGGATTTTTTTATAAAGATTTTTCCAAGGCGTGGATTTTTTAAAAATATTATTTCAAGGCATGTATTTTTTTTAAATTCTCCAAGGCATGGATTTTTTTTTAAATTCTCCCAGGCATGGATTTTTTTTTAATTTTCCAAGGCTTTGATTTTTTTAAAACGATTTTTTCAAGGCATGGATTTTTTTAATTCTCCAAGGCATAGATTTTTTTTAAATTCTCCAAGGCATGGATTTTTTTGAATTTTCAAGGCATGGCTTTTTTTAATTTCCCAAGGCTTAGATTTTTTAAAACGAATTTTTCAAGGCGTGGATTTTTTTAAAAAGATTTTTCCAAGGCGTGGATTTTTTTATAAATGTCTTTCAAAGACTTTGGTCTTTTAAAAAAATTTTTCCAAGGCGTGGATTTTTAAAAACATTTTTTCAAGGCGTGGATTTTTTAAAAACATTTTTTCAAGGCGTGGATTTTTTTAAAAAGATGTTTCCAAGGCGTGGATTTTTTAAAAAGATTTTTCTAAGGCGTTGATTTTTTTAAAGATTTTTTCAAGACGTTGACATTTAAAAAGAATTTCCCAAGGCGTAAATTTTTTTAAAAAGATTTTTTCAAGACTTTGATCTTTTAAAAAGATTTTTCCAAGGCGTGGATTTTTTAAAAAGATTTTTTTAAAACGTGGATTTTTTAAAAAAGATTTTTTTAAAACGTGGATTTTTTTAAAAAAGATTTTTCCAAGGCGTGGATTTTTTAAAAAGATTTTTTCAAGGCGACCAAGACAAGGGTTTAGTTTTTTAAAAAGATTTTTCCAAGACTTTGATCTTTTAAAAAGATTTTTCCAAGGCGTGGATTTTTTAAAAAAGATTTTTCCAAGGCGTTGATTTTTTTAAAAGATTTTTCCGAGGCGTTGATTTTTTTAAAAGATTTTTCCAAGGCGCCATGTTTCTTGAAAATCGGTTCAGATTTAGATATAGCTCTCATATATATTTTCGTACGATTTATTGTAGATGGTGCACCAAAGTCCCTATATATATTTCGATTTGCACGAAATTTGGCACAGCGTAATGAATTACGCCTAGAATGATGTGTGTTAAGTTTCCTGAAAATAGGTTCAGATTTAGATATAGCTCCCATATATATTTTTGTCCGATTTAATGTAAATGTTGCAACAAAGTCCCTACATTTCTTTCGATTTGCACGAAATTTAACACAGCGTGATGAATTACGTCTAGAATGATGTGTGTTAAGTTTCGTGAAAATCGGTTCAGATTTAGATATAGCTCCCATATATATTTTCGTCCGATTTAATGGAAATGGTGTATCAAAGTCCCTATATATCTTTCGATTTGCAAGAAATTTGGCACAGCGTAATGCATTAGGTCTACAATGATGTATGTTAAGTTCAGATTTGGATATAGCTTCTATATCTGACCAAATGAAAAATTTAGTATCGGTTGCAGAATGACATGTTTATGGATCCAATTTTTTAAAAAATATTTTTCTAAATCCTATCCTATTTTTCTAAAATATTTCTAAAGTCCATTTCTTATCAGTTGTCATTTCTTTCAGTTCCCATTTTGACGATTAGATTGAAAAACGGAGAAGAATTGCTAAGAAGAAGAAAAATCATGACGGCAACATGACAGATTTATCAGAATCCGATTTACAGCCGTTATTGGCCGCCGATAATGGATCACCTGCGACAGAAACAAATGATACCAAAAACAATAATAACAATAACAACAACAAGAACAAAAACAGCAAAAATGCCAAAATTAACAACAATAAGAAATTACAACAAAAAGACATCAATAGAAATGTGGTGGTGGTGCCAACGGACGGTGGCCAAGGTCGAAGGCAATCCCTCAGCCGGAAATCACAAAAGTTACGCTATATCTTGAAACGGAAACACTTGTTCTACATCATAGCCATAGCTGTAGTCATGTTTTTACTTAATCTAACCTACAATCATAATGTCGATTCGAATTTGCTGGGCAATGAGGATGATGTGTATTTTCTAAATCATCTGCATTCGCATGTGCCGGGCATGAAAGGTAAGTTTAGTCGATGAATTTGTGTTTTTTGTAAAAAAGGGCAAAGGGGATTTAGTACGCCCTACATGCATGTATTTATGACACATTTTTTCAAACCCATCCATCCATCCATTTATATAAATAAATCATTTTATTAGAAGCTTGACACTTTATCACATCATAAAAGTGTATCACTTATCATTCCGACACATCAGCTCACACGCCCCTGTAGTGAATGCAGAAGCAATATACGATAATACCCCGATCATAAAGTCCACATACAAATAGCAGTAGAACAACTATTATCAGATCCATAAAAATTGTAAATAAACTAGTGTTTACTTGGAATTGACGAATTTTAATGACTATAATACTAATAATCGGAAATAAAAAAGTAGATTATTTCTCAGATAATGATTGGTGGGGGATATTTTAAATCTATATGTTTTCGATAGGCGCGAATTTAAAATAAAAAAAAATCCAATGACTATCTAAAAGCGTGGATTTTTCTAAGGACCAACATTAGGCGCGGATTTTTTCAATAATTTTTTCTAAGGACCAGCAATTTGCGCGGATTTAAATATTTTTTCTAAGGACCAACATTAGGCGCGGATTTTTTTAATAGTTTTCTAAGGATCAGCAATTGGCGCTGATTTAAATATTTTCCTAAGGACCAACATTAGGCGCGGATTTTTTAATAATTTTCTAAGAACCAGCAATTGGCGCGTATTTAAATATTTTTCTAAATACAATTTAAGGGCTTGGATTTTTATACCCTACACAACTATGTTGTCAGGGTATTATAGCTTTGTGCAACCCCAAGAGTTTATAACGCTGCGAAATATTGATCATAGATCCACCTTTAAGCATACCGATCGTCATATCTCCACTAGCTGAGTCGATTTAGACATGTGTGTGCGTCCGTCCGTCCGTCCGTATGTCCATTATAATCTGTAAGCACGATACGGCCACAGTTATGGACCAATCTTCACGAAATTTTGCATGTTGGACCCGTTCTGGCCAATGAAAACCTCTATTGTTTTTGCTAAAGATCGGTTAATATTTATGGGGTGAAATGGACCAAAAACTTTATTTTGTCTGATTTTCTGGTCGCTCCAGAGGCCGCAATTATGGTCCAAACATCTCGAATTTTTACATGGAGAAGGGGATTGGGCCAAAGAATAAGCATGCCTGTTTTGATAAAGATCGGATAATATTTAACGGGCCAAATGGACCCTGAATTTTGTGTGAAAAATGACAAAATTCGAAATATTGATTCTAGACCCACCTTTAAGTATAACGATCGACATATCTCTACTAGCTGAGTCGATCTAGACATGTGTGTCCATCCGTCCGTCCATTATAATTTGTAAGCACGATACAGGTCACAGTTATGGACCAAACTTCACGAAATTTTGCATGTAGGATGAGTTCTGCCAAATGAAGACCCCTTTTTTTCTAAAAATCGGTTAATATTTATGGAGTGAAATGGACCAAAAACTTTATTTTTGTCTGATTTTCTGGTGGCTCCAGAGGCCGCAATTATGGCCCAAACACCGCGAATTTTTGCATGGAAAAGGGGTTCAGGCCATAGAATAAGCATGTCTGTATTGAAAAAGATTGGTCAATATTTAGCGGGTCAAATGGACCCTGACTTTCGTGTGAAAAATTACAAAGTTTGCATTCTATAGCGTATATATTTATCCCTGAATGACATAGACCCAAGAAACGGACAATATATCCAAGAGTGGTTGTCCTTCAATGTGATACCAAATACATTGTCGTATGTACTCGGATGTGGGAGTTACACTTAAATATTTACAGGTGCTTACGAATTCAGATAATATTTAGTAACCCATTACCACACTAGAGGGCGGAAATATAGCGCTGATCGTTTTGAAGTGTTCCATGAAGTTTCAGTTATGGTCTCGGACAACGCCTATAATTTTCGGTGATGATCAGATAATAACTTTGGGATGAAGTGGACCGAAAACTTTTTTTTTTTTTTTTTTTTGTTTTCGAGTCGATCTAGAGGCCACAACTATAAGCCGAACATCACAACACAACCCACGGTGAAGGGAATGTGGGCAAGTAATTTGAAGGGCTGTACTGAACATTAGTAATATTCGGAATATATGTCAGTGTAAGGAAGAGGTGCTGTTGACCTCTAATTGGGCAAGAAGGTGCAAATATCATGAAAATTGGCTCGGAATAAACGTCCGCAGAAAGTTAGAGTTCCGTGGTAGTTGTGTAGGGTATCGTATGGTCGACCCCGTCCGACTATACTGCTCCGCTCACTGGTTTTTAAATATTTGTCTAATGACTATTTTTAGATGCGTGGAATATTTATACGCTTCACCACACTGTGGTACAGGGTATTATGTCTTTGTGCATATGTTTGTAACAGGCAAAAGGAAAAAAGATCGACACATGGTTATTTTTTAGAATATGCATAGAATCACTTTTTAAGTCGATTTATGCTTGTCCGTCCGTCCGTCCCTCTGTCTGTCTGTCTATGTTAAATTGTAAACAAAGTACAGGTCGCATTTATGATCCGAATTGGATGAAATTAGGCATAGGTCACTTATTTGGCCCAAGGACGAACCCTATTGAAATTGGGACAAATCGGTCCAGATTTATTTTCGTATATATTTTCGTCCGATTTATGGTAAATGGTGTACCAATGTCCCTACATATCTTTCGATTTGCACGAAATTTGGCATAGCGTAATGAATTATATCTAGGATGATGTGTGTTAAGTAGTTTCCTGGAAATCGGTCCAGATTTAGATATAGCTCCCATATATATTTTCGTCCGATGTAAGGTAAATGGTGCGCCAAAGTCCCTAAATATCTTTCGATCTGCACGAAATTTGGCACAGCGTAATTAATTAGTTCTAGAATGATGTGTGTTAAGTTTCCTGGAAATCGGTTTAGATTCAGATATAGCTCCCATATATATTTTCGTCCGATTTAATGTAAATGGTGCACCAAAGACCCTTTATATCTTTCGATTTGCACGAAATTTGGCACAGCGTAATGAATTAGGCCTAGAATGATGTGTGCTGAGTTTGATTAAAATCGGTTCAGATTTAGATATAGCTCCCATATATAGTTTCGTCCGATTTTATGTAAATGGTGCAGGGGCTTATATATCTTTCGATTTGCAAGAAATGAATGAAGTATAGAATGATGTGTGTTAAGTTTCCTGAAAATCGGTTCAGATTTAGATATAGCTCCCATATATATTTTCATCCGATTTTATGTAATTGGTGTACCAAAATCTATAAAAATCATTCGATTTGCACGAAATTTGTCATAGCGTACTGAATTAAGGCTAGAATGACGTGTGCTAAGTTTCGTGAAAATTGGTTCAAATTTAGATATAGCTCCCATATATATTTTCGTCCGATGTTATGTAATTGGTACACCAAAATCCGTATATATCTTTCGATTTGCACGAATTTTGGTATAGGTTTCTGAATTAAGTCAATAATGATGTTGCTAAGCTTCGTGAAAAGATCCATAGCTAGGCCGATTGACACAACGTAATGATGTAATATAAATTAGTCTCTGGCAAGTTTCCCTGACATCGGTTCAGATATATTCTACATATGTTAGGATACATATGTAGAATGTACCCAAAGTGGTGAAGGGTATCATATAGTCGGCCCAGTCCGACTTTACTACTTTGCAGTTTAGGCATGCGAATTTTTTTAGTAATATTTCACTGAGGGACTAACATACCCTATCACACCACACCCACACATATAAATGCACCCACCCATACGCTTGTAAGAATTTTTGATAAGCTGCAATATATTTATTATTCTGAAAATCTATATTTTTTGTGTTCTTTTTTTTTCTTTTGTTTTTTTTTTTTTTACACCTGCAAATATTGTCATCGTCCGATTGCCTATTGTCTGTGTGTGTGTTGTTATGCCTGTGTCTGTGTAATATGTCCTGGCCTGCATAAAAAACCAAATCAATTTTTTTTTATTATTTTTGTGTTAAATACCACCACCAACACCATTTTGTTTGCGTTTGTATTTGTTTGTGAAAAAAAAGTTTTGAAAAATTTAACATCGTTGATTACAACAACATTATTACCACCAATCGACAAGTCAACAAAACAAAATCGTAACAAAATTTCCAAAAAGGTTATACAATTAGCAATGTCTGCAACAAGCACCACCTCAACAGCAGCAGCAGCAAGTATGCGTCCGAATGTTAAATCTGCTCGAATATCACCAAAGAATGTTACGAAAAACCCAAAACCCCATTTCCTGCATAAAACTAAAAATATTTCTGTTTCTTTGCCCCCTTCAAACGCCCTTGCCGTAACTCCTCAATTGACGAATTTGTATTTAAACACCTCCACCCCTGCAATGGATTTTGAAATTCCCAACGCCACCTCTTCGTTAACCGATGCCGATATCATTGAACCACCCAAAGGCTATTTGGTGTGGAGTGAATTTTGTAAAATGCCAAATTTGGATCCCTATTTACCGGATGTAATGGCAAATTTTCATCGTCAAAAATACAAACCCTGCAAGCTATTGGATCCGTTGACCAAAATTGAGTTCAACACCACCAGCCAACGTTATAGCCTGCGCATAGATACGGATGTGATACCGGGCTATAGTAAAACTGGCAAGGTTGATTGCTGCTATCAGTCGATTCTACGCAATGAAACTGGCGCCAAGGCAGATAGTGTTATTAGGTAAGGTAAGGGGTTATTTTATGAAACTCAAGTTCGCTCTTTAGTTCCAGTTAAAAAAAAACCCTGATCCATTGATTCCCTTACTTTCCTTTACTAGGTTTTCAGAATGCATGGGATTTGTGGAGAAAACCTCATTGGATCCCTCCATCGATAATATTCTAGTTAAATGCCGTTCCGGCAATCGACAGGTCTATGTTAATGGCCACGCCATGATGCCGGAACGCAAAGAGATACGTGAACGTTTGAATATGTGGCGTAAATATGACGAAGATTCAAATGCCGAAGATAAACCTCCCAGTGTTCTAATGATCGGTATTGACAGCATCTCCCGGGTGAATTTAATACGTGCCATGCCCAAGACAGCAAGATATCTATACGAGAACGAATGGTATGAAATGAGCGGATTTAATAAGGTAATTAAATATTCATTGCAATTTTTTTCGAAAGGGATATTCGTGATAAAAACCTGGAAGCTAAAAGCTTGGATTTAAAAAAAAAAGTGTTTTTCAATACCCTTCAGACCTATTTTTAAGAATACTCTTTCAAGGGTTACCCGAGAAGCTAGGAATATTTTTCGAAAATGCACGATAGAAATACATTATACCTAAAAAAATTAAAAAAATTCACGCTTCCAAAAAATATTTTGAAAAAAACCACGCTTAAAAAAATGACCCGAAAAGTCCACGATTCAAAAAAAAAAAAAAAAATCAACCCGCCAAAAATTTAATAATTTCAGGAAACTAATTTAAAACCAGTGAGCGGAGAAGTATAGTCGGACGGGCCGACCATATGTTACCCTACACAACTACCACGAAAATCTGACTTTCTCCGGACTTTCTCAACGCGCCAAAAATTTAATAATTTCAGGAAACTAATTTAAAACCAGTGAGCGGAGAAGTATAGTCGGACGGGCCGACCATATGTTACCCTACACAACTACCACGAAAATCTGACTTTCTCCGGACTTTCTCAACGCGCCAAAAATTTAATAATTTCAGGAAACTAAAACCAGTGAGCGGAGCAGTATAGTGTGATGAGGCCGACCATATGATACCCTACACAACTACCACGATAACCTAACTTTCTCCGGTTCTATATTCTGAGTTTGGGCAATAGTTCGCGATATTTGCACCCTCATGACCGACTAGAGATCAACAAATATTCAGTACAACCCTTCCAATTACTCGTAATTGTCGAGATTCCCTTCAAAACATTAAGTTTTCGGTCCACTTCATCCGAAAATTATTATCTGATCATTACCGAAAATTTTAGGCGTTTTCCTTGATCACAACTGGAACCTCATGGAAAATTTCAAAGCGATCAGCGCTATATTTCCGACCTCTAGTGTGGTAATGGTTTAATAAATAATATCTGAATACGTAAGCACCTGTAAATATTTACGTGTAACTCCCTCATCCGAGTACATATAATCGGTATGAATTTAAAGGCCAATCGCTCCTCCTGGATATACTATCAACTTCTCGGGTCTATGTCCTTCAGGAGTAAATCCATACGCTATAGAATACAAATTTTGTCATTTTTTATACAAAGTAAGTGTCCATTTGACGCGCTAAATATTGACCGATCTTCATCATAACAGGCATGCCTATTCTTTGGCCCAATCCCCTTCTCCCTGTAAAAATTCGCAAGGTTTTGCCATAATTGCGGCCTCTGGAGAAAAATATTCAAAAATTAAGTATCTGGTCCATATCATCCTCTAAATATTATCCGATCTTTACCAAAAACAAAGGGGTCTTCATTGCCCAGAAGCCATCCTACATGCAAAATTTCGTGAAGATTGGTCCATAACTGTGGCCTGTATCGTGTTTACAAATTATAATGGGCAGACGACGGACGGACAGACATACATGTCTAGATCGACTCAGCTAGTCGAGACATGACGATCGGTATACTTAAAGGTGGGTCTAGGACCAATATTTCGCGGCGTTACCAACTCTTGGGGCTACACAAAACCTTAATACCCTGACAATATAGTTGTGTAGGGTAAAATTTTTTAAAAAATCCAAGTTTCAGAAAATATATATTTTTTTTATAAAGCCAATTATAAAAATTATAAAATAAAAACCCATCTTCCAAAAAAGTTTTAATAATAAAAAAATTGTTGTAATTTTCTTACCACTCATTCGCTTTTCAGATTGATGACAACACCTTCCCCAATTTAATGGCCGTGCTGACGGGCATGAATCGCACCCGAGCCATACAGAAATGTTCACCCTACAAATTGAATGCTTTGGATCAGTGCGATTTTATATGGAAGACCTTTCGTGAGCATGGTTATGTGACAGCATATGCTGAGGATGAAGCCTCCATTAATACATTTAATTATTTGAAGGTGGGATTTGTTGAACCTCCGGTGGATTACTATCTAAGACCCTTTCTCTTGGGTGCAGAGAAACATTTGGAAACACGCACAAAATCCGGCTTGATTAGCTGTCTGGGTTACAAACATGCTGCCGATCATGTCTATGATTATGCCGTGGAATTGGCCAGGCGTTATAAAAACGACACCTTTTTCGGTTTGTTTTGGGCCAATACCTTCAGTCATAATGACATCAGTGACTGTACCTCCATGGATGAGCATATTCGGGAATATTTGAAAAAGTTCAAAGATATGGGCACCCTGGAGAACACCATTGTGATATTTTTCAGTGATCATGGTATGCGTTTTGGACCTATACGGAAAACCTATTCGGGTCATTTGGAGGAACGTTTGCCATTTGTGTTCCTGTGGTTGCCACCACGGCTGCGTCAGAAATATCCCAGTTTCGTAAATGCCCTGAATGCGAATAAGAATCGCCTAACGAATCCCTATGATACCCATATGACGCTGAAACATATTTTGGAAATGACGGGACGTGTTAAGGATCCTGCAAAATTGGCCCCCGCCGATGCATGTCCAAAGTGTCAGTCGTTGTTACGGCCAGTGCCCCATAATCGCTCCTGCCAAGATGCTGCCATTGAACCGCATTGGTGTACATGTCTGCTATATGAGAATATCTACAAGAATTCCAAAACGGTATTGGATCTGTCACATCTACTTATCGGTTATATCAATGATTTTGTGGCCACCTTCCGCAATAGAACCTATGCCAAATTGTGTGTACCTTTGAAATTCGATAGTGTGGATAGTGCGTATCGCACTACCCAATTGGAGACTCAAGACAATGGCACCACAAAAACGGTGGACATTTATCGAATTACCTTCTATACGAAACCGAATAAAGGTCTATTTGAGGCCACTGCCATATATGATCCCATCACAGGGTATATGGAGGTCACAGGCGAGATAAGCCGCCTCAACACCTATGCCAGTGATTCGGATTGTGTTTCCGATGGTGGGGCAAAGAAATATTGTTCGTGTCGCAAAAAGATTTTCTAGCATAAGGTAACGTCGTTACACAAGGTCTTGGTGCGTTTGGGAAATCGTAAAAAAATTTCAAAGGTTCTTTGAGAAATGGCGAAATCACGGAATAGAAAAAAGCGTGGGAGAAGGAAACGGAACATGACATTCAAAGATTTTATTTTACCATGAATCTCTTCTATTTTCTGTTGGTATTTTTTTTTCCTTTTAGCAAATTTTTTGTATATATATATGAAATAAAATTCAGTTAAGTTCAGAGGACCAGGAGAAGGTGTGGAGATGTAGAACAATCAAATTTAATAGGGGAGAAAATAAAAGAAAAAATAAGCTTAAAATTAACAAATCTCCCTACTCCACAGATTTGCTCAAAATGTATATACGTATTAAACAAATATTAAATATTTATAAGTAATTTTTTAGTATTTTCTATTTTTAAGTAGCCAATTTTTTTGATTAGCTAACACAAATGCGCATATCTACCCTATAGATTTTTCTTAATGATATTAAGGACAATATTTTATTAAAATAGCTAAAAAGAAACTATTAATGCCATAACTAAAGAATTATTATTATTTAATATAATGTATTAGTTCCTTTAAATAGCTAACTCATTAGAATTCCAAATTAATCTTATAATAGAGAAAACAAAACTAAAATAGATTACAAATATTTGTAAATATTATTATTATGGAATAACCTTAACAAGAGCTTTATTTTTTCTTACTCTTCAAACTATATAAATAATATATATTTAATATAAATAAATAATGTATTTTTTATACTAAAAAACACGAGTTTCATTTGAAGTGGGGGTTCCACATAATTGAGATATCTTTTCTAAGGACTCTGTAGAGACTAACGGACTATCTCGCAGGAAATCGTTGACCATGGGTTGCCAGATGAGCAAATATATTAATGGTACTAAGTCCTAGGAATCACTGGTATATATATTTGCAAATATTTTATAAATAAATTTATAAAATATAGATTTAAAGGCACCGGGTGACTAAGACCATATGCGCGCGAAATTGCTCAAGATTATAAGTTAGTTATAAATATTATTTTAAAAAAAATTACAAATGAACAAAATTAGAATGGATTTCGAACTTAAACATCACGGATATTGTGAGTGCAGATCGAATTGTAGAAAGAAAGTCTTTTGTGGAACAATCCAAGATTTTATCGATACTTCGGTTTAATGTTGAACGCAGTCGGGCTAGGAAGCTGCAATCTAATCTGCTAAAGTAAAAATTGTAGCGTCCTCGGGTTATTTTTGGGTTCACTAATTTAAGAAAGGTTTCGGAAGATTGCCAGTTTGCGAGTTCTTTTAAGAGTTGTTTAGATTTATAAACGCTAAGTATACTGAATGGGAAACACGGCATTACTGAGATTTGACTTAAATTTAACGCTTCTTTCACACAGTAGTCAGCAAAGTCATTACCTTTGATACCAGAGTGTGAAGGTATCCATGAGATGAGCACAGTACTGTTGTCCGGAGTATGGATAATACCATTGTAAACATCTCCCTTATTTTTTTGGAGGACTTTAGCTACGCTAAGATTATCGACACATATTAGGGTCCCCTTTCCTTTTGGGGCAAGAGTGATAGCAGTTTTAACAGCACAAAGCTCTGTAATCTGGTAAACGATATTTACTGACAGCTGAAAATTGTTATTTGAATATTGCTTAATTACAGAAAATGATGTGCATATCCCGTTGAAGGAGCCATCTGTAAACAATAATACATCCGGTTGAAAAGCATACATTTTTTCGAGCAGGAGTGTTTCGTAGCAAATTATGCTGGTAGAATCTTTTTTTATAGAGGGACAGCTTGGTATCAATTGAAACTATGTTTCCGATCTGTAGGTTTTGAGTTGGTTTGGATGGGAGGGGTATTCCGAAAGTGTGGAATAGACCAAAAATGTGGTCGATAGAGAACAATTATTGCGTATTATTTGCACTGACGTGATCCCAAATTAAATGTTGAAGACCATGAGAAAATAAGGTTAAAGCTTGCTGCCAAGGCTAAAAGAGAATTTTTCAGAAATCGTGATATTTACCCTCTACGTATAAGGCTTCCAGAGGTATAGCCTGACGCTGTTCTAAAACATTTTTTAATTGGTACGTTCAATTTAGATATGTTAGCTTTGGACGTAAATCCATAGATTGTATATAAATATATATATGTATATAATGCCTAAGAGGGTTCGCCCAGTCATACAAAATATGTATTGGTCCTTGATTTTTCTTTAAATCCACGCTTCTTCCGACATTTGAATCTGGTCCTTATAATGATACATTTTTCAAAATTTTGGTCCGTGAAAAAATATTTATACCCTACACAACTATGTTGCATATGGTCCAAGAGTCTATGATGCTGCGAAATATTGATTCTACCTCTCGACTAGTTGAGTCGATCTAGCAATGTGTGTCTGTCCATCTGGCTATCATATCCACCGTACTCAAGTTATAGGCCACAAATATTGACTATTTGTCAAGATTTTTTTTCATGTAGGACGGGTTCTGCTTTTGGTAATTTCGGTTAATATTTAGAAAATATAATGGACCAAAAGCTGTATTTTTGTGTATGAAATTGGAATAACCATAACTGTTTTGTGAAGATCGGCAAATATTTAGCGGATCAAATACACCCAGACTTTTGTGTGAAAAATTACAAAATTTTGTATTCTGTGGCGTATATATTTACTGCTGAATGACAGACACCTAAAACCTCAGGCTTGTGCTTAGAGGCTTTAAATCATGTTCGACCCGTCGAACTTCCATAATCAGGCGGGCATTAAAAATGCATAAAATTTTTTGGTAGGACAATTTGAAAACCAATAGAAACCTAAGCTATCAGCCTATAGCAAATTCGCCCTTAAAGGGGTCAAAATGCTTCAAGTACCGAATAATTTACTTAATTCACGTTACATAGGTATTCGAGTCAATATTTATAACTTTTAGTGTGAAGATTGCCTACATTGTGAGGACAAAAATACTAAATCATAACCTATTTGGTTGAAAACATTTCCAAAATACCGAATAATGGGGATCCGGGTTAAATTGAAAATGGGACCAATTTTGATAACTTTTGGTAGCTTTTCTACTCGCAGAGAATTCGAAATATGAAACTAGAGACAATACCAAATAATGGGGTTTCCGTTCTATGGAAGCAATCCTAAAAAATTGTATTGATCATTTTTTATAATGTTTATCTACATTATGAGAATCAAAAATCGTTACCAAACTCCCCAAAGGAGCTAATATTTTGGAGGTAGTCTTATATAAGGCCTATGCTAAAAAGATGGTCATAAAGTGTGCCAATATTGACCATATTCGGTAATAAAATTTTCCACGCAATGATAATCCAAAATACGAACTCATATCCAGAAATATCAAATTTCGGCCAATTCGGTTGAAAAAGTGCCAAAAACCTACTATTCGAGGACAACGTTAAATGAGGTCAGTGTCAAAATGTAGACCGTTATATCTCATTGTGAATATCAAAAATCCCAAGAGTAGTAACAATGTATGTGCAAAATTTAAAATTATATTTTAAATATTTAGAGCTCTATCGTCATTTCAACAGAGGGGCGAACGGAATGACAAATTTAATATACACTCCACCAATATTTGAATATCTACAAATGACCAGCTATATATTGACGCGGATCAATCTCCAAATAGTCATTCGTATTCGTTGGCTGTCTACGTTGAAATGTTCGCTGAAATAGTGCAGCTTGTAATCATTTTTTGTTTGAACGATTTTTTTATTGAGAACAAAAATTAATTTCTTCAAATTGGTAATATGGTGCCTTAGTTATTTGTTCCTCCATTCACCATCTTAAATAAAAAAAGAAATATAATTATTAGATTTTTGTTTGTCTAAATTCATATATATATTAGTAAAAATATCATATTCAAAAAATTATGATATATAAATTAAATACCCATCACATGCAGGTAAACATAATCTTAGTTATAAAGATGTCGTCAATGAAGTTGAAAATGCTGAAATGTTAAAACTAAGATGTCATTTCTGCTAATTCCGATTTTTCGTCACTACTTTCGAGAGCCACTTCCTTCTTTGTAGACTTTCCATCATTTAGTCGTTCCATTGTTAGAGCATCTTTAAGGCTATAATTTTGCATTGTATTACGGAAAATATTGAAAAATTTACGTAAAGGATCCTTTTTATTCAGACTCGTTATTGGGGCACCATCTGGGAGAGTAACTTTTACCGTAATACTGCTGTAATCCGATTCTATGCTAATATTAAGTATGGCATTAATTTGTACAGCAAATTTCGAATCTTGTCGCCGTATGCTGTGCAAACGTTCCGTTTGAGCCATTTGATATTCCCAGAATGTTTGTTGAGTGGTTTTTTGAAAGAAACGATTTGACCACAAATCTACACTGGCACTCATGTGCCAGCTTGTGGAGAGGTCATCATTTTCCAAACGTTGTTGTTTTTGTGGCGTATGCGAATCCGGTTGCAATTCAATGTGAAAGAAATCTGCTAGAATTTTTTGTATGATCTGTTTGTAGTGATCGCACCAGTAACGCAGAATGTCTAAAGGTTCCTGAGCTATGGTTGGATTATTATTGGCAATGGCATTTAAATCGGCTTTTGATGGTAACATAACATGACTGAGACATTGTGTTGAAGAAGACTCAGAACTGCTTTTGTTGGTGGTAACGTTTGATCCATTTGTAGCTTGCTGCGTCACAACAATTTGTTTTTCAACACTTGGATTGGGTATTGAAATAGTTTCATATAATAATTGTTCCAAAATTTCCGCGGTTGTAGACTTATTGCGTTTTTCACATATTGTTGCTGCATTTTCTATACACATTAGGAAATATTTCTTATTGGGTGGCAACATTGTCCTGGCCACATTGTGATTTAAGCCAAATGAATCCTGTACACACATACAACGATCCAATTGTATAGGTTCTGGCGGTATGCCATCCATATATTGAGCTACGGTTACTAATTGCCTACCATATTCCTTGAAATTATCCTCTTTGAAATCATCCTTGGGAATCGATTTGCCATAGAATGGGGATATGAGATTATCTTCAAAATTATAATTTTTATAAAAGTTGAAAAATCCTCGTATCAAATCTAGCGTGGAGCAGATTTTTGGTATTTTTGGTTTATTAGTCAACGTCTTCAAATCGAATGAATAATTTATACCCTGTACTAGACGGGGTTGGCAGTCTTTTTGTAAAAATTGGATAGACTTGAGGATGCGTTTCTCTCCTCCTCCTCCACCACCTCCTGATGATTTCAGAGGTTGTTGCAAATAGAAAATAATCATTGTTATCAAACAATAACTGGTCATATTGGCCCGGCCAATAATTTGCATATTCTTGGCCCACAATTTAAGGAATACCAGCAGTTCGTGTAGCCGTCGATCACATTGTACCAATTCACTAATGAACTGGGTATTCTCCATACTGCTGGGACATGAAATATTGATGTCAATACTGAATCCGGTATCACGATGTTTACACTTGATAATCGGCACACGGGCATTGCGTATGGCAAAAACGTCTAGAAATTGTGGACTACGATGTAGAGCTGCATTGATACGATTAAAGGCACCACGTTGTTGTGCCGTCTGTTTGCCATCTGTGCTCATGAGGCGGCGATGTTTCGGCGATTGGCTAAAGTCTCGAGTGGGGATTTGTGAGGCATCGAGATACACATCGATATCGGCATCTGTAATATGTTACATTAAAAAGATTAGTTTTGAAAATTTTGAGGATAAAACCAACCGTAATTTTTTCGCAGCTGGATTTTTTAAATTTATTTCAAACAAGCACCATTCTGATTTTTTTTAACATGTTTGAAGTATTTTTTAATCGCTCCTTGTATTGATGCATCGGAAATTATTTTTTGCAAGTCTACATTTAGCAATATTTTCAATAGAGGATCCTGTCCTTGAATTGTTTTAAATTATTGTTATAAGCAACATGTATAATTTGGTCGTTCTGGATAATACCTTTTTAATGACCAACATAGAGTTTGGGGTTCTTAAAGTATTTTTTAGCAGAGTTTTTTTTTTAAAAATATTTATTTTCAAGCTTCCTATACTGAGATTTTTTAAAATATTTTAGTTGTGTGTCATACATTAGTAAAAATATCATATTCAGAAAATTATGATATATAAATTATATATGTAGGTAAAAATACTTATAAAGATGTTGTCAATGAAGTTGAAAATGCGGAAATGTTATCACTTAGTTGTCATTTCTACTGATTCCGATTTATCATCACTACTTCCGAGAGCCACTTCCTTCTCTGGAGACTTTCCATCATTAAGTCGTTCCATTGTTAGAGCATCTTTATGGCTATAAAATATTTTGTAAGGTCCTTATATAATAAATACAAGCCTGGATGGTTTTATAATAATTGTGGTTTAATTTTTTAAAAATATGCAATTTTTTAAATAGTTTTTTTTCAAGACTCTATAAATGACCTTACGCAGACTAACCTTTTCAAGGCCATATTTGAAACTGAATTTTTTGAAAATATTTTCTAGGGCTCTATACAAGCCTCGATTTTTTTAAAATATATATTTTCAAGCATCATATTTAAGGCTCGATTTTTTTAATATTTTTGATATACAAAAGCAAAATTGAATTAAAAAAGTTTTTTGCAATGACCTTCTTCTTCAATCTCGTATTCTTTCTGAAGGCCCCACAACTTAGATATGTAATTTCATTCTCGTTTAATTTCTATATATCCAGTATGAAAACAACGGACCCAAGTTCTTCGAGAGTTATGATAATCCAGCTTATCATTAATCGGTAAATGAAAATACAAATAGCATTCAATACATGAAACCCCGTAGCATACTTTCAGGCGCTTAAATATAAATTAATAAAAAATATATAAAAAAATTTTTCACTTACCTCTCAATGCCAAACGGCTGGCAATCGAACCAAATGGAAATATTCGTACAGTTCCCAGCGATCTCAACTCCTTTTCCAAGCATGTCTGGACACGTGTAAATATTAATATCAAACTTTCTGGGTCCATACAAAGATATTTCATTATGGCCGGCAATTCTTGTCCCTTGGGACAATTCTGTAAAGCTTGATGGACGCGTTTACGTTCATCTTGTTTTTCTTGCGAGTTCAGAGATTTTGCGGTGGCCTTTAGACGACTTTCAACATTTGCACCACTCTTAACGGCCGTTTTCTTTTGCAGACTATGTTCGAGTAATTCATGTCGCAGACATTCTTGTAGTGTTAGAAAATGTTGTCGACAAATACTGCAGTGATTAGTTAAATTGGTGGATTTTGATTTATCCTGTTGGCTGCTCGTTTTGGTGGTTTCTTCACTGTCATCTTCGGTTGGTGTTGTTGATGTTGTACAGGCCGTGGGGGTTTCTACATCTTTGGCCATATTTTGTTCAGCCGTTTCGTTTTCTGATTTGAAACTAAAAGAAAAAGAAATAAACGTACTTTAGGCAGTATACAAAAATGACTAGAATTTTATTGTTATAAAATATTGATAAACAAAAAATAACCAGCAAAATTAAAAAAAATAACTGCTAATTACTCCAGTTCTGCTACTTTCAGAATATATTTGTTCAAACGTCCGGTTGTGCAGTTCTGCAGCTTTGAGAAAATATTTGCCTGAAAAAACAAATATTTTTAAAACTCCAAATTCCTCCCTGTTTTACGGTCCACAACTTTCAGAAAATATGTTGGGGGTATCGAGCCATCTTCCAGACCGGAACACAAAATAACATTATTATCCGAACGATATAGTTGCAGTTTGCCCTCCCGGAACACCTTGTCCACATTTAAATAAATCAATATTTGACAATCGGAACGAAAACCACTGACATTATTCGAACAGCAATCACTTGTGGCAAAGTGTATATGATTACGTTGAAATCGCTTTAAGCCACCGGACTTTATGCTATTCCAATGACGATAATAGGTACCATGTACAGCCATTGGTACTTCTTGGGCACTGGGGAGCAACTGCAAACATTGATCTGCTTCAATTTCTTCCAACGAATGTCCCTGATTGGCACGAATTTCCCAGTATCCCTGCAAGGGATTCTTTCGCAGGGTATAACGTTGTTTGGCATCTTGTTCCACCAGCCTTTGTAATGTCGTCAAACTATAATCACGACAATAGTGGGGATGTTTTAATAACTCATCGACCTTAATGAAGCCATCCGGTTGTATCTGGAACCCTTCTTTTTTCAAGCCATGCCTCAGTAACCATGATAGTTTTTTACTCAATCGTACATCATTACCCGGGGGTTTTTGTGTTGTGTTGGACATTTTTTGAAGTTCCACCAATTTTTTCACTTACTTTATTTTATAATTTAGTGTTTCTATTTAATAATTCTTCAATAACAATCGGTATTTACGCACATGTATAAACAGCTTCAAAGGCGTTCCACTTACTAACGAATGGGAGAGAATACAAAATGGTCAATAAAGAAGAACGCAAAGTGGTGTAACGAAGTATTTACGAATGTAATGGGATGGAGACTGCATGAGAACACAAACACACAGTCACTGTGCGCGTGAATGTCTCAGTGTTGACTCGAGTCAGGGTTGCACGCCAGTGCATGTACGTTGTAGGGTTGTATTTTTCGTAAGGTGTACTGTTGTCGAATGAATGGATGGCTGCTACAGCATTTGTTAACGGAATTCGGGATATTTTATAGACTAAGTGCTCTTAATGCCGACATGTGCCAATAGTCGGCATCTGTTGTATATAACTTCAGAAATCTTATTTATTTCAGTTGGCTTGTAATGTTCTTCTTCTTTTTGGTGGAAGTTACATGTTGTCAATCATGCTTTTATCACAACGGTTAACAGCTGTTTTGCTTTTTGAAGCCGTCAAACAGAGCAACAAAGTGGCTATATAAAGAAAATAGCCTTAATACAATGAGAGTGTCTGACGCTTGGCGTTTTTAACAGTTATTGGTGGAAGTTATAGGAAAAAATGATAGGATTTGCGAACTTTGAAACATAAGGGCATTGTATCAAACCAGTGAACGGACTGAGTCGACCATATGATAACCTACAACTGAACTTAAATCTTCAGTGTCCCATATTTGAGCCTCTAATATCACTTAAGAATATTGGAAATATATATATATATATATATATATATAATATAGATTTCTGTTAATATTTTTATATATCCGACCACACACCACAAATTATTTAAAGTGCAAGATATCTTCTTTCAACTGATGACATCTTCTATAAACAATATTGGAGAAAATATCTTCGCTAAAGAATGAACATCTGATCATTTTTCAAATTATTATTTATTTTTTTATTTACTTAATTTGCAATTGAAGCCAATTTATAATACATGTGGCCAATTTAAAGTTAATTACAAAGATTCCAGCCTTTTTCATAAAAAATTATATATATATAACATATTCATGTTATAATTGGTCAGTTCCCGTACTGCAAGAATCTACTACCTTTTACTACGATAACAAAATTCCCTTTATGATATCGACAAAAATAGTAAAAAGTAGTAGATTCCTGCAGTATGGGAACCGATCAAATGTGTACTAGGCTCAAATATGATAATATAATAACTACTTAGTCAAATCGACCATCATTCAGGATAATAATTTTATGGATAATAATCAAGTTTAAGGTCGTGGATAGTTTTGGTATTTTTAGCGAAAGAGATTGATGATTTTACCAGAGATGGCCCTAAGGGAACAAGATAATATGGGTATAATTTTGAAGTTTCGTTCCATTGTTAGAGCATCTTTAAGGCTATAATTTTGCATTGTATTACAGAAAATATTGAAAAATTTACGTAAAGGATCCTTTTTGTTCAGGCTCGTTGTTGGGGCACCATCTGGCAGAGTAACTTTTACCGTAATACTGCTATAATCCGATTGTATGCTAATATTCAGTATGGCATTAATTTGTACAGCAAATTTTGAATCTTGTCGCCGTATGCTGTGCAGACGTTCCGTTTGAGCCATTTGATATTCCCAGAATGTTTGTTGAGTGGTTTTTTGAAAGAAACGATTTGACCATAAATCTACACTGGCACTCATGTGCCAGCTTGTGGAGAGGTCATCATTTTCCAAACGTTGTTGTTTTTGTGGCGTATGCGAATCCGGTTGCAATTCAATGTGAAAGAAAGCTGCTAGAATTTTTTGTATGATCTGTTTGTAGTGATCGCACCAGTAACGCAGAATGTCTAAAGGTTCCTGAGCTATGGTTGGATTATTATTGGCAATGGCATTTAAATCGGCTTTTGATGGTATCATAACATGACTGAGACATTGTGTTGAAGAAGACTCAGAACTGCTTTTGTTGGTGGTAACGTTTGATCCATTTGTAGCTTGCTGCGTCACAACAATTTGTTTTTCAACCCTTGGATTGGGTATTGAAATAGTTTCATATAATAATTGTTCCAAAATTTCCGCGGTTGTAGACTTATTGCGTTTTTCACATATTGTTGCTGCATTTTCTATACACATTAGGAAATATTTCTTATTGGGTGGCAACATTGTCCTGGCCATATTGTGATTTAAGCCAAATGAATCCTGTACACACATACAACGATCCAATTGTATAGGTTCTGGCGGTATGCCATCCATATATTGAGCTACGGTTACTAATTGCCTACCATATTCCTTGAAATTATCCTCTTTGAAATCATCCTTGGGAATCGATTTGCCATAGAATGGGGATATGAGATTATCTTCATAATTATAATTTTTATAAAAGTTGAAAAATCCTCGTATCAAATCTAATGTGGAGCAGCCTTTTGGTATTTTTGGTGTATTAGTCAACGTCTTCAAATCGAATGAATAATTTATACCCTGTACTAGACGGGGTTGGCAGTCTTTTTGCAAAAATTGGATAGACTTGAGGATGCGTTGCTCTCCTCCTCCTCCACCACCTCCTGATGATTTCAGAGGTTGTTGCAAATAGAAAATAATCATTGTTATCAAACAATAACTGGTCATATTGGCCCGGCCAATAATTTGCATATTCTTGGCCCACAATTTAAGGAATACCAGCAGTTCGTGTAGCCGTCGATCACATTGTACCAATTCACTAATGAACTGGGTATTCTCCATACTGCTGGGACATGAAATATTGATGTCAATACTGAATCCGGTATCACGATGTTTACACTTGATAATCGGCACACGGGCATTGCGTATGGCAAAAACGTCTAGAAATTGTGGACTACGATGTAGAGCTGCATTGATACGATTAAAGGCACCACGTTGTTGTGCCGTCTGTTTACCATCTGTGCTCATGAGGCGGCGATGTTTCGGCGATTGGCTAAAGTCTCGAGTGGGGATTTGTGAGGCATCGAGATACACATCGATATCGGCATCTGTAATATGTTACAATAAAAAGATTAGTTTTAAAAATTTTGAGGATAAAACCAGCAATTTTTTCGCAGCTGGATTTTTTTAAATTTATTTCAACCAAGCACCATTCTGCTATTTTTAACATGTTTTAAGGATTTTTTAATCGCTCCTTGTATTGATGCAGGCGAAAATTATTTGTTGCAAGTCTCCATTTACCAATATTTTCAATCGAGGATCCTCTCCTTGAATTGTTTTAAATTATTGTTATAAGGAACTTGTATAATGTGGTCGTTCTGGAAAATACCTTTTTAATGACCAACATAGAGATTGGGGTTTTTAAAGTATTTTTAGAGATTTTTTAAATATTTATTTTCAAGCTCCCTATACTGAGATTTTTTAAAATATTTTTGTTGTGTGTCTATTATATATTAGTAAAAATATCATATTCAAAAAATATGGCATATAAATTAAATATGTAGGTAAAAATACTCAATGAAGTTGAAAATGCGGAAACGTTATCACTAAGTTGTCATTTTTTGAAGACCATATACAAGCGTGGATTTTCCAAAATTTTTTTTCAATGTCCTAACGCAGACCTAAACTTTTCAAGTATAGTTTTTTAGGGTCATATTTGAAACTCTAGATTTTTTTAAAATATATATTTTCAAGCATCATATTTATGACACGATTTTCTTAAATATTTTTGATATATAAAAGCAAACTTGGATTTAAAAAGTTTTTTGCAATGACCTTATTCTTCAATCTCTTATTCTTTCCGAAGGCCCCGCAACTTAGGTATGCAATTTCATTCTCGTTTAATTTATATATATCCAGTATGAAAACAACGGACCCAAGTTCTTGGAAAGTTATGATAATCCAGCTTATCATTAATCGGTAAATGTAAATAACAAATAGCATTCAATACCTGAAACCCCATAGCATACTTTCAGGCGCTTAAATATAAATTAATAAAAAAAAGTACGTAAAAAATTGTCACTCACCTCTCAATGCCAAACGGCTGGCAATCGAACCAAATGGAAATATTCGTACAGTTCCCAGCGATCTCAACTCATTTTCCAAGCATGTCTGGACACGTGTAAATATTAATATCAAACTTTCTGGGTCCATACAAAGATATTTCATTATGGCCGGCAATTCTTGTCCCTTGGGACAATTCTGTAAAGCTTGATGGACGCGTTTACGTTCATCTTGTTTTTCTTGCGAGTTCAGAGATTTTGCGGTGGCCTTTAGACGACTTTCAACATCTTTGGTCATATTTTGTTCAGCCGTTTCGTTTTCTGATTTGAAACTAAAAGAAAAAGAAATAAACGTACTTTAGGCAGTATACAAAAATGACTAGAATTTTATTGTTATAAAATATTGATAAACAAAAAATAACCAGCAAAATTAAAACAAGTGAAAAAGCGTTAAGTTCGGCCGGGCCGAACTTTGGATACCCTCCACCATAGTTATACTGACAGATACATGCAATGAAAATATAGGGAACATACCAAAAAGTGGGCACATACCGATAATACCGATTTATGTAAACCATTATGTACATTAAATACAAACTTCGGCAATTTTTAATGGGGATTTTTCCTAAAATCTGTATGATCCAAAAAGTGGACTGATATTTATAACGCATTGTAGAGTATGAAATCCTCAAACTACTGTAATTTAGATTACAAAGTTATATGAGGCTATGCCTAAAGAGGGACCAATATTGATTACATAGTGTAGGAAATAGTGAATATTTGGGGATATCATCATACGAGGGCTATGCCTAATTAATGACCGGTATATGCCAATTTTGAACCAAATATTTTAATTGTTTATCTCAATTCTTTCCTTCAGGAGGTATCACGATATTGAGGATATGCCTAAATGTCTGCCGATATATTTCATTATCATCATGTTTGAGTTTTTTTATCACAATATCTTTAGAAGGCGGAATGC